GGCAAGTTCTTCATCCTGCAAGAACGAATCATCAAGGCCGATGTCGCAAATGCTTCGTGCCGTACCCCGTGTCAGAAGTGGTGGCAGCTTCTTGTACTTCCTCACGATCGCAAACATGGCAGCAAAAGCCGCCACAATTTCAGTGAAGTACGAGCTGGCTTGTTTCATGGTCTGGACGTTGCTGCTCTCAATGGCATCGAGTTTGTTTTTATATGCCCTGCCGGCCAAACCCATGAGTTTGGCACATCTCGGTGGCAGGTTCTTGTGAGTTTGCATCTGCGTGAAGAAGCGGGCTGCATGCCACGGAGCAACAGTTGGGAGGTACAAGACTTGCATCCTCCCCTGCGTAAGCGAGTCTATTAGGACACTCCCTTTGTAGGTGGCTTCAGGCATCAGATTCACAATTGTCATCCGAGACAGAAAAGAAGGGTCTTCTCGTTCCCATATCTCTAGTAAAGATTCCAGATTGCCCGTGGAAAACATTGGGGGCAAGTTATTAACTTCTTCTGCAAGGTGTGTTGTGGCCCTGGAGACAACTCCAGCTTCAAGACCTTGGGCAAAGTCTCTGATGTATTTCGCCATCTTCTCAATGGCCCGTGCGTAGCCGCCAGTAGCTCCCCAGGCAAGAGAAATTCGGTACTCCAAGATGTCCCTCTTGATACCTTTTGCCTGATTCTGCTGCAGTTCATTGAGCTTGGCAGAAAAAAGGTCGTAGGCTTCAGTACCCAGCACTGTTAAAGTGTGAATGTACACCTCTCGCTGGCTGCCCCTGAACATCTTCACAACTGCTTCGTAGTTGGTGAGACCAGACATCACGACAAAAATTTGGCCTCCCCAAAGGTCCATGGCTCTGCAAAGCTCCTGGCGCACCAAAGCTTCGTCCTTCGACTTCCCAAGCTCGTCAGCCAGGATCACAACGGGACGGTCACCGTACCATCTGCGCAGGATTTCCACAGCTAAATCGATGTCAATCGAGTCAATCTCCCGAGATTTCCATGTTCTTAAGAAGTCACGCCACTCGCACGTTGTCCTGCTCATGTGCCTTGCGGCACCATAAAGAACCCGCAGCGCCAAGTCAGCCTCTGGATTGTCACTGATAATCAAACCCATTCCAAGTCACTACAAACCTATGGCAATGCAACTCAAGTCAACTCACAATGTCAAAAATGAATCTGTTCAAGGGTTTGGGAGAATGTATCCTGTTGATTCACTATGAAATTCGGAATTTGATGGGTGCAAAATGGAAAACATCAGAAAGCCCCTGACACTGCTGCAAAAAAGAACTTGTGCTGCTGAACTAAGGGTGGTTTCACGCTACCCACCTCCCGACCAGCGACGCTTCAGAAGGGTTGGTCGGCTTCCATCTGGAGGATCTTGAACTGCAGAGAGGCCCTGTGACACTGCTGAGACCCAGATGTGCATATATGATACTATACATATGTATGTTGTGTGTGTAAAATGTGGAGATGTATATATACATACGTACAAACTATACTTAAAATACATATGTATCATACATGTGTGTGTGTGTGTGTGGAATATGTACTTACATACTATACCATTGTTCTATACATATGTGTGTTTTAGCTACATTGTGTATTTTATATATATGCGTGTGTGTGTAAACAGTTGGTTGTGTGCTCCAGTGATCCCTATGTTTGTCGCTTGCAACAAAAAAACGACTGTTTTGGTACATATTCTGGGTTTGTCTGAAAATAAAGTACTAAAACCCTATGGATTCTCATCATCTTCCCCATTTTAAAGTGCTAATGTTGAGATATTTTGGGTATACCCAATTTCAGGACCAACTCGTATCCTTGCTGATACGCCCAAACTCACAGACATATCGCACGTCAGCGTGCCTCGTCAAAGTAGCGGCGCCGGCGAAAATCACCTCGTCAAAATCTAGGCGCGGCTGAAGGATCCCAACATCGGGGAAAGTCATCCCATGATGACAGTGTTTTGTGACTCAAAAATGGTGGATACGAACAAAATAAGGTAATGTTTATGAATGTTTAATGATGAAGCATCAAAATGAGGTACCTATTTTCAGACAAAGCCAAACAGAGATGGGATTCGGTGAAACGTAATTTCCTCAAGTATCTACCTAGGAGATGATTGGGGTCACAACACAATGAAATCCATGCTTCGTAACTAGGATCACAGAGATTTCACAAAACCTTCAAGGCGTAAAATCGTACATAGACCACTATACAGGCAAGATATCAAACATCTGTCTGACTGCCCATTTCCCAACTTCTCAGCTGTATCTACTGCTCCTCCCAACTCACAGACGTCACCGAGTGGCCACTGGAACGGGTGGGCTTGGATTCTCTTGGTGCCGTTACCGAATGACTCGAACTTGACCCCATGGCAGGCTAAGCGCAGTGCAGTGCAGCAGCGGAAACGGCTGGAACCAACAGCTGCGGTGAATGGAGCGACAAAGCCCACGACAGCCTAGGTAAAACGTCGAAATTGAGGGTTAAAAACCCACAAGATACGGGGTTGAACAACTAAATACATGAGGATACGCTCTTCTAAATCCAACCAAAAGTTGGGGTGCACCTTTAAGCAGCTCAAAATGGTCTCCCGGCGGAAATATGCAGTATTTGGGAAGATTAAAAAAGGTGCCCAGTGGCTTTACATTTCCTCATTGGTCATTGATTCCAACCCCTTTCTTCATGGTTTTGATATGCCATATCTCACCGTTCTTGTTATTATTCCTTGCTTTTTATTGGCTTACAGCTGCCATTGTGGTATCAGTTGTCTCCCCATTTTTGGGAAGAACTGTCCAACTATGTCTGAAAGAAACCGACCAGCATTTTTGTTCAAGCCAACATGACAAGGTTGGAATTCCCTATATAATGAGTGGATGTGCAACACGGCTCGCGAATCGAAGCAGCCACTCAGCCACTCAGCCACTCTGCCAGAGAGGCTGGACCAGCCACTCAGCCACTCAGCCACTCTGGCAGAGCGGCTGACGCAGCCACTCACCCACTCAGCCACTCTGAGTGACTGAGTGGCTGAGTGGCTGGTCCAGCCTCTCTGGCTGAGTGGCTGAGTGGCTGGGTGGCTGCAGCCACTCTGGCAGAGTGGCAGATTGGCTGGAGCAGCCACTCAGCCACTCAGTCATTCAGAGTGGCTGAGTGGCTGAGTGGCTGCTCCAGCCACTCTGCCGCAGCCACTCAGCCATTCTGGCAGAGTGGCTGACGCAGCCACTCAGCCACTCAGCCACTCTGAGTGACTGAGTGGCTGAGTGGCTGGAGAACCATTGGAGTGTAAGCAATATTACCCAGACCTAATTTTTCTCAGGTCTGGGTAGTATCTCAAGTGAGGTTTTATCCTAATTTAGGGTTCCTTCCTTTATTCATCCAGGCACCGGGGAATATATGGAATCTTAGGCAAACCGGCAAACATCTGTGTTAAAGGGTTGTGAGAAAGAAGTCATTAGTCATTTGTGTTAAAGGGGTTCGCTCTGTGGGTCTCTGCGGGATCATCATGGCGAAAGGAATGAGACATTTGGTTATAGTTCCAATGTTTTCATATATGTATGTTATTAAAGAAATTATATACATATATAGCTAGACACAAACACACCTAAGGTCATATCATCCACCTCCATCATTTCGTCATTTACCACAGTTCATTTTCACAACAGTTCATATCATTTCATCACAGTATCAACACAAAATAAAACCACATAATTTCATACATCATCATCCCACATCATTTCATCATCATCCATCATCACATAAATTCATATCATAAAATGTCATCATCATATTTTATCATAATATATTATTATTAAATAATATCATAAATATAAATCATCCACGTCTAACATTCCTATGTTCGTATATGACAAATTATGGGGTTAAAGTTTTTTAAAGTTTTTTGGTGTAATGGTTTTCCAGATTTGTTTCAATTTTGCAATTCTGGTTTCATCATCTTTTAAGTATTCCTCCATATGTGTTTGTTTTTCTCTTCTTCCTTTTTGAGTTTTTCCTTGTTGGAATGTCTGTCGGTTTTAAGATGTTTGGACAACCTGCATTGTTTCACATTCCGTTGGCAAATGTCGCAGAATACTTCCTTTTGATTATATACTGTGTTACTGTCCTTTTGTTTGTCCAAGCATTCAATACACATTCTATTCATTCCATTGAATTCGTCATCATTTTTGTTTTTCTTACACTTTGTACACTTTCTACTCTCCATACTATTATAAGGTATTATCCTTTCAATTTTAAGTGTATTTCCTTATATCATAAAATTTCGTATTATCTGATATGAAAATTTATGGGGTTCAAATATAAATTCCTTGTTGTATTCTTTCATACACTTTGTCAAACTTATTCTCGTCAATAATTGTATTTCCAATAAACGGTTCATTGTCTTTGATATACAACAATATTTTCTTAAACAATCTATAAAGGTTTCATGATTAAAGTTATCATCCATACAGTCAGCATCATTAATATTCATTTCTAACATGCAGAATGCAACAGTAGAATATGAATTGTTACAACATGTTTCAATCCTTGTCCATAATCTTGATAATGTCTCATGTCTTTTTCATTTAATATTAAATTCATGTTATCATCTGGAAATTCATTCACTAAAGTATTATCAACGTATATTTGAATGTGTTCATCAATATCCTCATCGTCACAAGGGTAAATATCAATTTCAATTGAATCAAAATGACTCATTATATTTGAGCAACTTTTGCAGGCTACATATTCACAAATTTTATTACCAATACCATCGGTAAAAATATTTTTGGTAATTCATTTTATTGTTGCATATTCACTACATTTACAGCTTAAGATTTTTTGTTTGGTGTATTCTTCTTGATTGATTTCACGTTCACTACTTGTATCACTGAATGACATTTCGCTAATATATATATATATAGATAATATTCCTTTAAGTAGATTTCCTATAAATGGAAATTTATATGTTCAGCAATTCATGCCTCAATAGTGGTCTATTGTGTCCTTGTAATGTATAATATGTTTGATTCCAATTTTCATCAATGGACTCTACTGTATACTCACCTTTCAAAAAGTGTGAGGTTCTCTCCTTCTCCGTTGTTGCTTTCTTCCTTTTGATTTTTTGCAAACAAAACGGCGCACGGCGGGCTGTCTTTTTGAACCTGGGCCTCAACAGTCATACACAAGCTTGTGCATGCCACAATTGAAACGTGAGATTCCACATGTTTCCATGTGATTGTCGTTGCATTGTCCATGAGTTCACACTTCTCGATTTGTGCAGAGTGTCATCCTTGTGCAGTGGTCATGCAGAGCAAATGGAACAGAGAAGTACTGACCTAAAAGTTTTGCACTCCTCCTTGGATTGGCGAGTTTCAACTGCCACATCCACAACAGTTGTACGGACCGGTGGTCGCGTATCAACCCTTCCAAATCTTTTCACCACCGCTGCACATTGCACTCTGTCCACGCAAAAAAAATGAATCTTTCTGTCATTCAGCAAATGCGTTCTCCCTCAATTCGTTGGCATATCTTTGAAATCTTTCTGCAATCAAAGCTTCATTGCTGACTCTTTGGCGATCAGCTACATGCTCCAGTCGATCTCCAAGTTGTTGGTATAACCTGATTCTCGCTCCTCGTTCCAGGGGTTGTCCAATGTTCAGACTGTCCAAAACCATCATGATGCACCGTTGAATCTCAGCTGCTTCTTCCCAGTTCTCTCTGGCAAGAAAGGAATTCAACTCCTGTCTAAGAGTATCGTGAATCCTTGTCAGCTCACCAGGTGCTTCGGAAACAGGCACAGTTGGGTCAAAGGTTGCTGCCTCTGATTCTGCACCTTCGCCCATTGGAGATGCTCCCGTTGGATTCTCCATCATGTCAGTGTCGTCTCCAAGTGCCACGCCTCGATTCTGTTGCATCACAGTTGACATGTATCTGTTTGCCCCCATAGTACGAGCTGCTACCAGGTTTGCTCTCTCGATCGTGAACATGTGCTGTCTTTGCGCCGGTGTCAGTTCTGAATGAATCGTGTATCCTCCGAGCATTACCAGGCCATAGTGTAGTGAGTCGGCTTGGTCAGACAGAATGTCGTATTGGCCTTCCAATAACTTGTGGCCTCTCTGTAGCTCGGCGATCTGATTCTTCATCTCATTGACTTCACCTCTCAGCGTCTTGTTCTCATTGCAAAGCCTGTCCACAAGGCTATCTGTCATTGCCATGACTCCATAGCTGTGCTCATAGCTTTCGTAGGCATCCTTTGCCCATTTGAATGTCCTTGCCATGAAAAGTACCACGCCCAGAAAAACCATGGTCATCAGGAAAATTGCAGTATATGAAAATGGTTCATATTGATTGTACGCATTGGGCTCCAAACTGCATTGGTTGTCTGTATCAGACATTGGATTCGCAGCCACACCCCTGAGGGTCGAAGACTCAAGGCCCATCACCATCAGCAATCTTGCAATTTGTTTCGCCAGCTTTGTCATCTGACGTCCTCCATGGCGTTCGGACTGCATATGGTACTCGGGTTCACCAATCAGACAAAAATCGTCTGAGCTTGAAGCAACATTCATCTCATGTAAAAGCAAGTGGACACGTTGAACTCCCAAGCTTTTGGTTCCAATGTCACTGATATTCCACATGGTTGGAATTTGACTGAGCTTGAAAACGTTGTCACGTATGGCATCCTGTATCCACAGAATCTTTCCACTCACATGTTTTACTTTTCCAGGCCCCTGCCTCATCACCAGATGTCTCCCTGAAGAGGAATCGGTGTACATCATGTGTTCAGCCTCACATTTGCATACAGATTGGATGCACCTTCGAAGAAAAATTCCATCACTCAATGTACTCACCATAGCGTGCAGTTCAGACTCGCAACTTGACAAGCTAACAACTCTTTGCGTGCGTGAACTTGCAAAAAGGAATGAGCCATTGAGCATGTGTACACCACAGCTAGTTGAACGTCGATGAGACTGGTTGCTGCTCCAATCGCTGTCGCTGAAACTCTCCAACAACCAAAATTGATCTGTTGCATGCCACTTCCCTTGACCCCCTGTTGGAATCTCCAACAAAACACAGTAGTTGGGCGTTGCTTTGAGGTACCCAACCAGTTTTCGAAGTCTTTGCAGGGCCGTACATGTGGGTCGTGACATAGCTTCACTGAGCTCTTTCACAGTAAACAACAAATCAGGACGGTCTCTTGCAAGGTAGAGACATGTTCCAACAACTGATCTGTATCCAAAGGCATCTTTTGGAGCTAGCTCGTCAGAGCGGTCCTCTGTTTGAATCCCTCCATCACAAGGAATTGCTTGAGGTCTCACTTTCCCAAACTGTTGCTCGAAAAGTTGAACCACCTTTTCAGCACTAGTGCCTGGCAAAAGCGCCAAGCCATGCTCCAGTCTTTGGATTTTCCCTTTCAGGAAGTTGATCTCTGATCCAACACCTTGCAAAACTGATGAACTGATCTTGAATGTCTCAGCGAACTTCGGCAGGAAAGTTTGATTCCAGTAGGCACGGCTGCCACAAAAGAGAATATCATCCACATGCACCATGATACAACAATGTTCATTTCGCGCAAGACAAGGCTGTTCTGGACACCATTCGAAGTTCAAATGCTTTGACAAAAATCCACGTAGGTGCCAATACCAGCTTTTGGCCCCCAAGCGCTGTCCAGGAAGGTTTCTCTTGACAGTGGAAGCCTTCCCCAGCAAAGTCACCAGCATCGGTGATGGCTGGTCAACCATTAAGAACGCATCTTTCACGTCCACAGTGCCCAAGCAAACCTTTGTCTCTGACCTGTCATGCTCTGGAACATCAACCAAGCTTTGCAAGTACAACATCGGCAAAGCATTGAGTATGTGTGTACTGGTTGCTGGTGCATATGTATCTGAACGTTTCTCCCAGAATGCAAATTCTCTGGCCACGAGGCGAGACCTGCGTAGCCAAGCCTTCACTGTTGATCCGTCTGGTTGCACTCGATCTTTTAGCCTCCAGTCTAATATACAAACTTTGTTGTGAGGGTATTGGTTGCCCCCAACTGCATGTCGTTGCCCTCCACAAGGACATTCATGTTGCACAAACGTGAAAGTTCAATGTGGTCAGCCACTCTGTCAACCCATGCTTCTGGTTCAGGTGGAGGTTGATCAGGCGGTTGATTTGACCAGAGTTCATTGGGAATGCAATCCATGGGAGTATCGTCAGACTCCTCCTCCAACCAAGCATCAACATTCACATAATCGTCCATGCTCAAGTCATTGTCATATTCATCCATTGTAAAATGTTCATCATTGGAAAATTTCACACTGCGCACCATTGAAGCATAGTCAGCACTGATTCGATCAAGCCTCTGTTTCTTTGACGCTTCAACCCTTGCTCTTTTGGATTCATGGTCATCAGGCTCGATGTCGTGCTGTCTGGTCGTAGGGTTTGTCCTTGGAGTTGCAGGTACTGCTTGAGAAATTTCAGGCGTTTGTGGCACATCCAATTGTGATCCCACTGCAGCAGAAGAAGGGCCTGAAGAGACCATAGCCTGTGGTGCCATTTCCACAGGTGTCTTAGGCTGTTGTTCACCTTCTGCAACATCATCGTCAAAGATCCCAATTGGGTTGGAAATTGCATTCGCTTTGGACCATCGTCAACTGGCTCACCAGCCTCTGGCGCTGTGATTGCCTCGGGCTGCTGCGTTTTGTCATGCACCATCATCTCAGTCAGCTCAATGTCCTCACGGACTTCCTCCAGATGATTTTGTCTCACTGCTTCAGCATCCTCGTCAAAGAATGCACTTGGTTCCACTTTTCCCGTAGGAGCAGAAAAACTTGCTGTCAATGCTCCAGACTGAGCACGTGTAGGCACTATGCGCCCACCAAAACCAGTTTTATATTCCCAAGACCAACATCTGAAGTTCATGTAAAAGGGTAGATGCCCTCTCCAAACTGTTGAGATTCTCCTGATGCTTCTCGTGAGAACCAGTTCATGGCCATCGAAAAGAATGTATGTATCCTGTGGGTCTGTTTTTCCCAAGAAAACCATTCTACGCCATCTCGCAGTTCCCTTTCCAGTCACCTTTGCAAAACCAAAAACAGGCTCTCCAAAATTGCAAATTGCTCCTCCGTACTCCTTTTGGTAGAGGATCTCGTAGGGCGTAGCGCCCCTTGGTGTGAAGCGGTTCAGCAAGAAACTGGCATGTCTGAATGCCCAACTCCACCAAGGTGAATTGCTCGAAAGCTCAACACCTACTTGTTCTGAAAGAAAATGCATCAATGTCCCAGCCAATGGTCTGATTCTTCCAACTGCGTTTTCCACCAGTGCATTGCTGTGAGAGTAAGGCGCTGACGTGTTGTGGCGTGTTGGAAGCCCCATTGACAGACGTGCATTCACAACCATGCGCAAAAGTTGTCTCAAAGTTGGCTCATTGTCGCAGTAAAAGACAATCTCTGAGTGTCCAAGAATTCCAGTGAATCCTAACAGCTCTCTTACCATGAGATTCCATTGATTTTTGCTTCGAAGTGGCACTGAATGCAAATACCCAGTGGCGCTGTCGATCATCACCAAACTGATCATAGTGTCGACATCCTTTTCAGCCATTGAATCTGGGACTGCTTTCGTGTAGCAAAAATCAAAACTCACTGTGGCAACACCTGCTCTCCTCGCACCATCTGACTTCAACTGCTTGTCTGCTCTCGCTCTGAAACAAACACAACTGCTACACCATGGTGCGTATGGCAAGTGAGTGAGATTGTGCTGCTGGACTTCGGCCTCTGAAGGTGGGACTTTCAAGTCCATTGCCTTTGGAACCCTTGACAACTCCTTCATGGAATGCTCAACTGCAGAGTGAGTAACTTCAAGTTCTTGCTGTTTCTGATGATTGAGAAGCCGTGTGAAGCATTTGACCTTTGAACCTGATGTGCTCAAGCTGTGATAAGTGCATCCAGCTTTCAACGCTTTCAAGGAACTCTCTGGAGTAAGCTCAACACCATTGACCATGACCAAGTCTGTAGGCGCTGGGTGAAACAAAATTCGTCCCTCCAGTGGCACATCAGCTCCTCCTGAGCCTTCAACTCCATCCTCAATCTCAAGTCCAATCACCTCATCTTCTGGTGCAATTGCAACATCAGCTGGCTGTTGCCTGTCAGCTTCAGGAAAAAGAGGAGGTTCATCTCCTACAAGCGTAAAACCCATCACCAATGGATCTTGCTCTGAGTCTGTGATTACAGTCAAAAGATCACGTGGGCCCTCGAATCCATAGATTTCAGCTCCTAACTCAATCAAACTGTCAAGTCTTTCGCAAAGTTCAAGCACATACCATTCTCCTCTGTCTCGCAACAAGGTGGTTCGATACAAGTTGCCTTCCATCTGAGGTTTGAACAGCGTTGGATCCTGAAAGTGATCCGAGTGGTGTCTTCCAACTCCGCAACCTTTGTCATCAAGATTCCACCCTGCTGGACCTAAACGCAAATCAAGAAAAACATCAGACATCATCACTTGAGTTGATCGCTCGAACCCAGCCCTTGACTGTGACACTCATGTTTTGAAGTTCTATTGGCACTTTCACTCCAGCTTCATGTGTTAAAACTTGCTCCCTAGAATCCATGCTCCATCCTGACTGTAGCAAACGGCCAAAACAAAGAATTGGTTGAGTCACATGTGGTGAGATTGCAACTCGCTCCTTGAGGACTACTGTTTTCCCTGATTCATCCAACAGTCGGATTTCCACATCACGCATAGTCTGAATGGGAATAACTTGGCCCTGAGCATCATGCAAACGTGTTGAAAACTCATTGCAACCATCTCCACAACTTGCAAATCCTACAGGAAACACTGCAGCATCGGCTCCTGAGTCAAGTAAAATGCTACACATGTCGCCTGCATTGTCTGGCACTTCACTGATGATTGCACGTATTTCACCATCATGCGCAACTGCATCAACTTCATCAGAATCACCAATGAAAAAATGAATGGCACGAATGGAACCTGCAGATGATTTGGGACTGTCACGAAGGTCACAAACAAAATGCTCTGACCCCTCATTGCTTGGAATGACTTCTGAAATTCGTGAAACTTTGTACTGAGTCGATTGCTGTGCATGGTGCTGTTGAGCTCCTTGTTGAACTCCCTGTGCAGAAGCTCCTCCTTGCTGTGAAACACTTGTCAAATTGGTCCACTCCGATTGGCTTGAACCTGCATTGGAAGAAGTAGCTTGCACATTTCGAACAGCATTCCAGCAATCTTTCGCAAAATGTCCAGGTTTATTGCAAACGTAGCAAACCTTGTCAGTTTTGCC